ATATCATAATACTATATTAGATCGTAAATATACGTATATAGTAACTTTTTCTGTAATAAACTAGTGCTTAAAAACAATCCGTAATAGAAAATTCTTGACTCGTTCATACTTTTTAAGCAAGTCGAATCGACTCAAAGTTTAATTATATTAAAAGAGTTTCGAAAAATTACGTCGCTCAAAGCCTTAATCGATTTGACTCGCTCAAATTTTGATATACTAATATTATTATAAAAATTTGAGTTCATTTTTATATTCAGAGTCATAATTTGTTTCAATTATAGATTTTTTTTTGCACCATATAAATATGTATATTATAAAATAAAAAATTCTCATACGTTCTAATAAAAATTCCAGATTTGGTGAAGTTGCATGATCCAAGAGACCAGCTTCTGAAACACAATAACGAACGATATCTTTTGCACCCTCTGAAAAATTTAACGGAACTGCATTCAAAATTAAACCGAATAAATAAATAGAATTTTAGGGTTATATATATATATATTTTTTTTCAAGTAAAACTCTTTAAAAAAAAAAATACCCGTAATAAGAAATTTAACATCTCGGTAGAAGTTGACGCCTATAATTGATAAAAAATAAATAAGACAAATAATAACAAATATATATAAATATAAATATAAATATAAAATATCTATTACCTGGCCATCTTGCAGAAATAGTATTTTTAATCACCTTTTAAATAAAAATAAAATAATTTATTATATATGCCTTAAAATTCATAAAATCAAAAGTTATAGACAAGTATAATATAATCTACCTTTGTCATTTCTATCTCAATCAATAAAAAAAAAAAAAAAAAAAAAAAGTAATTAATAAACTGAACAAAACTTTAGCGATCTACACATTTTTAGTTCAATTTTTTCAAAATAAGTACCTGAAAAATAATCAGATACACATTTTCTGTAATCTAATCCTATAGGTAATGGAGGTTTATCTTCTTCTAATACATTTGCTAAATGAATTTTAAACAAACTTGCAAGTATAGTTTGTCTATTTTCAATAAGTAAACTAGTTGTCCTAGAAACATTAGGTTCAGTAGTCCATGATCTATTTGTACGTCCATTTCCACTAATAGTAGAACTTCTAATTGGATTATACTTTTTTTTTTTTTCGGGTTTCGGAACTATACCCCAAGATATAACTTTCAATTCATTATCATATTGCAATACAGTATTAGTTTTAAAAACTCCAAGTTGCTCAGGCCATAAATTGTTTGTCACTATTTCAGCATTAACGTTACAGTTATTACAATAAGCAAAAGTACTTGAAAAGGTACCGAAATCTACATTAATTAAAAAAAAAAAAATTAAAAATTATGACACGACAAAGTTTTTTTTTTAAAATAATGAATATAAAATATAAAAGATCTATGTTTACCAATTCCAACTATAACTATGTTTGGCGATGAAGCCATGATGTTTTTTATAAAACTAAAAGAATTTTGTTCTCATAGTCTTCTGTGGACCCAAGTGAAAAGTATAAAGATAGTAAACTAGTTGTACAAATTTTGTTTTTTTACCAATGATGTGTTGAGATAATTTTATCGATTGTAAAGATGCAAACCAGCATGTGATGACCCTTTTGTAGCACGAGTTTTAAATTTTAATTCATTGTAGGAAGCAAAATATTAATGTTAACTAAAAACTAATAGTGAAAAAAGAAAGGATTATCATTATTATATTTAATATCGCATCTAGCTCAAAGAATGTACGTATGTGATTTAATTTTTAATCTATCTGATATCGATATCTAATACGTATCTTCGTTTCAAAGGGTTACGTTTCACGTAAAAAAGTAAAATCGTAATTGTATGCACTTTATCACGTGGTGGGACGGACAATCTCTTCAAGTATATAGTTCGTCAGCTTTAATTACTTTTACCTTACCTATAACGAGCTGACGATTCTGGAGGCAAAAAAAAAGAAGTTTCAGAAAATTAAGAGCTCATAGCTATTTTTTAAATACCAACTATCAATATTATATTATATCCAGAGTCGACTGTATAAGATATCAGATATTGATTTCTAATTAACTCGGAGATCGGGTCCGATATTTCATTTACTTTATCTATCGTTCTATCACTACTATTTGAACTTAAAAAATGAAGTTGGATGGATTTTCTCTTGAAATAACTGTAAATGGCAAACCGCTCCCAGAATTTACTGAAGTGATAAGTAATAAAGTAAAAATAAAAAAAAAATACTAATATAATATTCCGACTCTTAAAAAGTATACTAGTGCTATTTTAGTATTTATGTTTATTTAAATATTTTTAATAAAAGGCAATGGCCACGGGGCCGTCATATATTCGTAAAGGAATAGCCTCTCAAGAGGAACCGAGGTATAACTGTTTTTTTTTTTAAATAATTTGATGATTTTTAGAAAAATCAAAAGTTAATAGATTTTTAATAAATTATTAGTTCTGTAACAAATTACGCGGCAGTTCAAGAATTCGGCTCAAGATATGCTATCAGATTTTCTGTACCTCCATTATATTGTAGCACTGAAAACCCAATAAAAGTTTTTTTATATGTTGATGGTGAGTATGATTATTCTTACACGGATATTAATCCAACCAAGCTAGGTGAGACGAGGACGTGTTTTTGGAGTAAAAGTAGAGATAAGATATATTACTTTAAATTTGATCCGACTATTTGGTCAGAAGAAAAATATGGAATAAATAACTCCTCAAATCAAAAAACTTATCCTTTTGGAGGACCTGGAGCAGTATCAGCATATTTTTATCGAGCAGAACGCGTCCCATGGAATGTTTCACCACCACCAGACTATAGTGTTGAACCAGCTATTATTCCAGAGAATAATGATACAAGATCTATAAAGTTGTCAACACAATATGATGTTCAACGAGTATCAAATCCGTCAATTACAAGATTCGATACTTATTTACAAGAGAAAGGATATCCAATAGCAGTACTTCATCTTCATTATCGTGCAGCAGCTTGGCTAAGAGCACGCGGACATGATGTCCCATTTCCTCATTCTCCTAATCGATTTACAACGATCACTAACGATACGAATTTTGCATCAACATCACAACATAATGATGTTAAACAAGAAATGATAGAGATTAAAGAAGAGCCAGATGATGAAGTTGAAATCCTTAGTGTTAGGAGACGATCTAGGAATGAACGAATTCGTGAGGTTATTGTTATTAGTTCAGATGATGACGACGAAAAGCCACAAGTTAAAAAGATAAGAAATAATAATTATACTTCATATTGAACATATCGAGCAGGAAAAATTGATTTTCTTGATGATATTTAAAATTTAGATTAGTATTTATTTTTATATAGCGATGTTCTTTTTTTCAATTTGTATTTTTTTTTTTTTTTTTTTTTTTCTGAACTTAATACATGTATAGAAAAGAACATTGAAAATATTTTTCAATTGATCATCGATACATAGATTGTCTGTACTACAAACTATTTATAATAATAAAATTTGCTATAAATCGGTTTCACACATTTAATTAGTCTAATTATAAGTATTTCCTAATTTGTGTTAGAGTTTATTGCCCTTAGCGTTAAGCGAAGATTAATTGGGAAACAGGCAAATAAATGCCAAGTAAACCAGTAAAAACTTGCAGTAAAACGTTACAGTAAAATTCTTTTGATTATATAAAAAGATCATTTTTCCCTCTATTAGAATCATCATTATATACATTCATTTTCAATATGTCAGAATACATTTTTGAAGAATCTTTGATTTCAGATATTATTCAAGGAGAATTACCAAGAGGTTATAAGTTAAGACCTCTTGCAAAAGATGATTTTAATAAAGGTTTATTTTATTTTATTTTATTTTTTTAAGTGATCGATTAACAATATTTTTGGACTATCTTTATCAGATTTATTAAAAATGGCCAAAAATTCATTGTAATAACACTAGATGATAAATTATATCTTTCATTCTAAAACGAAAATTCATCAATTTTATAAAGATAATAAAATAATGAAAAAATATTTTTTTTTATGTTTAATAGGTGTTACTCAATGTTTAGATCAACTTTCAGTCATGGGTGATATATCAGAAGAAAATTTTATCGGTATGCTTCTTAAAATCAAATTGCCTTGTGTCTGAGAGTGTGTCTGAGAGTGTGTCCGAGAACGAAGAGCATTTAACAACAGAGTGTCCAGCTATTTCTAGCATTTAAAATAACACAGTGATATCACGACAAAACCTAACTAAATTCAATAAAATTTTTTTGATTTTAATCTTAATAAATGGTGATTTCGCTAGTGCTATTTCAGATGGTAGAGATAGTTGTACACTGTTTCGCAGTATGTAATTGTCACCCTGTGTGATGTCTGTTAATGATCTGTTGGTGTCGATGAATCCGTCCAAGAGTGTAATAAACTCTTTTTTTTTTTGTTTTATATAAAGATCGATTCGAAAAGATGAAAAGAGCTGGGGGATATTACATTATTGTTATTGAAAATGATGAGAAAAGAGTTGTGGCTACTGGAACTTTATTTGTTGAGATGAAGTTTATAAGAGGTTGCGGAAAAGCGGGTCATATCGAAGATATTGTTGTACATGATTCTCAAAGAGGAAAGAGTTTTGGAAAAAAGTATGCAATTATGTTTAATTAATTATGTTTAATTAATTAATTAATTAATTAATTTATTTTTATGCTCATAAATCTTTTTAATTGCGCAGGATCATTGAGCAACTTAAAGATATTGGCAGTAAGGTAGATTGTTACAAGATCATCTTGGATTGTAAAGAACATAACGTTCCTTTCTACAATAAATGTGGTTTAGAACGTAAAGAAGTGCAAATGGCTTATTATTATAATGAAGAAAAGAAAAATCAAAATTTGCATGTTGGAAATGGTGTACTATCTAAGGAAAAAGAATAATTAAGATATTACACATATATATTACGTAATTAGGGTTAGAGACCCTCTCCTCCCCTCAAGATATTACATAATATTTTCAATACCCTAATATAGACTTTAAACAAATAGATTATTCTTATTATCAGTACTCGTTATTTTACTAATTAGAGTAAATTATATTTCAAATTATTAAATATATAATAATTATTTAAAAAGTATTATTAATTGTTTCACTGAATCCTTTTCATGAAAATTTTTTTAATCTTCAACCTCTTCTGCATTTTTGTCATTATCTTTATCCTCTGTTACTGTTGAAAACGATCCAAATTCTATTTCTCGCCTTATCACTGTTCTTTCTTTGCTTTTTCCTTTCTCTTTTGCCCTTTCTTTCTTCTTTTTCTTATTTGTTTTTGTCTCATCTTGTTGTTCAATAGGATTAATTTCGACGATTTTGGCTGCCAAAACTGTTTGATCGAAAGTTTTTTCACGTTGTTGTTTTTTGGCTATCTGTGCAAATTGTTGTTCCTTAAATAATTTAAGTTGCGAAACTCGTTGTTTAATATTTTTTGATCGTGATAGCATTGTCATCATGGTGTTGCGTATATTTTGTAATTTCGTGTGATATTGAGGAATCTTGGAAAACTTTACGTAAAATGTTAATGTTTTTTTTTTTTTTTTTGAAAATGATTTTGAAAATGATTTTAAATAATAAAAAAAAAAAAGATACTAACACTTAACGTTATATATTCATAATTTTCTTGATTTTCCATTAATGAATTTGTGTTTTTCAAATCTTCTAAAAAAAGTTTTTGTTTGTCCCTGATATAATATGAAAATTCCTATAAATTATTTATTCATTATAACTTTGTTGAAGAAAACTTGGCTTACTTCAATTCATTTAATTGTTCTTCAATTTGTTTTAATATTGGCTCCCAATTTGCCAAGAACCCTTCTGATAATAATGGTACTGCCAACTCCTAGAAAAATTTACTATTAAAAAAAAAATGATTATCCAGCAATTTAGAGAGAGCAAAATCTATATACTCTATTACTTCGGTTCGAAGCTGTTCTTGCATTTTAAAGAGAATTCTTTGAAATCTTTAGGTTATTATTTCGCAAAATACAATATAAATATATCGACTAAACTCTGTTAAGACAAAATTAACTTAAAAAGTATCTTGATAGATAAGATCTCGAAATTTTATTGGTTTAATCAAATTTAACATAAAACACAAATTGCTCGTGTTTTTTTAAAAGCACTCTTGCATATTTCAGAAGTATTTGGTTAAAAAAAAAAATTACTATTTTCAATTATTTTAATGGAAGTGAAAATAAGTGACCAATGCCCAAGTTATGCACCGTTTTTCGGTTTCGCTGGAGTTGCGTCAGCGGTAGGTGCATTCCTTTTTTTTTTTTTTTATTGCTTTCAAGGAAATTAAACGTTTACTAACGTTACCCTTTCCGAATTTTGAATAAAGATGATCTTTAGCTGTAATTTGGTTTAATATATAAAAATAAATGTTTTTTTCTGTTATTCTTTTTTTCGATCCTTTTATTTATATAACGAATTTTTGTGGATTTATGAAAAATACGATCCTAATAATAGCTATTGGTGCTGCTTATGGGACTGCAAAAGCTGGAATTGGAATTGCTGGCGCTGGAACTTTTAGACCTGATCTTATCATGAAGGTAACTTTTTATTATTCCCTTTATACAGTAATATTTTTTTAAATTAACCTCTTTTTTTGTTAATTATTAATTTTCGTTGCTTTAAATAGTCACTTCTACCGGTGGTTATGGCTGGTATTATTGCTGTTTATGGACTCGTTATATCTGTCTTAATATGTAGTTCACGTATGTTTGCATTTTTTTTTTTTATGAGGAATTTATATACCGGTATTTTGTGAAGTTTTTTTTTTTTTTTATCATCCTAATATGCTTCTGTTTTCAATAGTGGATCCAAACAAACCATATTCTCTATTTACGTAAGTTATATATTTTATTCAAGTGGATAAATAAATAAATGGTCATTAATTCAAATATATATTTATATCTGTTTCCAGTGGCTTTATTCACCTTGGTTCAGGTCTTACAGTAGGTCTTTCGGGTTTAGGAGCAGGTTATTCAATAGGGATTGTTGGTGATGCTGTAAGTCATCTATTTCTTTCTAATAATAATATTTTTTTTTCCTATCATTCAATTATCTTCAAATATATTAAAATTTCTCTCCATATCAAATATTCTTAAAAAGTTTGTTAGAGCGTATACACAACAGACAAGACTTTTCGTTACAATGGTTTTAATGTTAATTTTTGCAGAAGTATTAGGTCTTTATGGATTAATTATTGGCTTGATTCTTAATACTAAAGCTAGTAATGATTGCTGAGATAAAATTATGTTATTGCTTTTATTTTATTACAAAAGTAATGAGAATTTTTCTTTACTAATTTACAAAATCGCACTACATACATACGCTTTAAGATAATACTATATATATATAGATTTAGTGTATTTTTAAAATAAATTTTGGGTTTATAATGACTATTATCTGGTACCATAAGACACTTATAGTATTATATTATCAAGATTACGTATGATGTCGAATTTAATTTTTATTATATAAAATTAAATAATCCTAAAGGTTATGTTGGTTGAAGAATTTTTTTTAAAAAAAAATTATTGATCAGTGTCTTCTTTTGATTCTTCCTCGGTTTGTTCTTCATTTTTCTCTACTGAATTATCTTTAGTTATCGTTCCTGCTATCAGTTGTTGTTCATACAATTTCAATTGTTGTATTTCACTTTCTAATGAAGCACATGCTACTTCTAATTGAAGTGTTTGACCAATTAACTCTGTCCATTTATTTTCTAATGCTTCGATTTGACTCCCTGCTTGAACCTATATAAATCATTATAAAAAAAAAATTATTAAAAAATATGTAAATCAAAATTCCTTTGATAGATTATTCTTATATAAGTTTTGTTACCTGTGATGATTTTCTCTGTTTGTTCAACTCTAAAATATTTTGTCGATATTCTTCTAAAAGCCTCTGAAGTTGTTGTAATTGATGTTCTAATTGAAAATTATGAAGCTTCCACGCATTTGCCCCAAATTTTTGAAGTAATTCTAGATTAAAAAATCTAGTACAAAATATTTATTAAGATTTTGAATCTTCATAATTTATAATTGTTGTATTTTTTTTGTTGGTAGATTTAAAGTAAATACCGAAGATTTTGATGTTGTAATTGAGCATTAGAATTATCAATTGCTTTCTTCCATGCTTCTTCATCTTCTTTATCTTCAGGTTCTATTAATTTATATCTACTCGTGTCCATTTCAACCATTGCTTTTCCTTGCTGAACACGTTGATATTCTGTCGCAAGTATAGATGATTCCTATTTAAAAATTATCAATATATTAATAAATATTTACGAATATAAAAGATATCAATGAAAAACTTACCTTGAACAATTCGAAATTAAAAGGAAAATGTGATGCATAATCTTTCTTTGAATGAGATGGACGTTTTTTCATTTCTTGTTCAACAAGTTTATCAACTTTTGCTCGCATTCCTTTATAATAAAACTGATTTTTAGTATATATGAAATATTGAAATAATTTCTTCAAATTAAGTTGATCTTAAAATATTTGATTTACCTTCATAATCAATCTCTTGATCAATGTCTTTGAAAAAGTTAAACCAAAAAAATAGTCTTACGATTTGTATTTATAATAAAGACGCGTCAAGATTTTTATTAACCTACATGGTAAAGAGTCAATTATCACTTCGGGGTGTTCTATTTGCTCCATTATGAATTTTTTTATGTCTTTGACCAAATCGTTATTTCAGTATAGTAAATAGCGATAAATTCTGCGTTATTTGATGTACCAGCCAATCAGATCGCTGGTTTACTAGAATAAGATCTACGTTGATTGGTTACCGTTACTAATTTTCTAGATAACAAAGTGATGGATACCCTAGGGTAAGCCCACAAAGGCTTGAGTAGGGTATCAAATTCTGGGCCCTAGGGTAAGAATAAGGGCTCAGAATATTTAATCTTTACAAAGATGGGTAGGGCTAGAGTAATATATACTTCATTACCCTCGAGCTTAGGACACCTATTAATTAATGTATCCAATTAGGAACGCTCATTTGATTTGCCTAAATTATGGTATTAATTTCTTAATGCCGGCCAACCTATTTACATGTGATCAGTCTACATATCGGATTTATATATAAGATAAATTAAGATTTTTTTTCTTTCGCTTTGGTTTAAAT